TAGAAAAACATAAGTCTCAACAAGAAATAAAAGTGTACAGTATGTCTAAGGGTTAAATTCAGTGTAAAGCGTGACTCTCTCCACAAAGCGTGACTCTCTGCACTCACACTGATGACGCGAGCAAGGCGCGCTGGGCCGAATGAACGCCATTCGGCATAACTCGGCTCATCTCGGAAGTTCGAGTTCCAAATATTTGTTCGGATTCCAAGACAAAAGTTTCTCGAATCTCCTGGTCGAATACCGATTTGGTCGAAATCCGAGGCGTTCGAGAACCGAGGTATCACTGTAATTCAAAGACAAAATTGAATAAATGATAAAAATAAGGCAATGTTCAAAATTTGAAAAGAAGCTGGTATCAAGTTTGTGGTGTAACTCCTTAGAGGAGAAACATTTAAAGTGCTTTTAAGCCCTGGCTCGTTTTCTCAGCGGTTAGAGAGTTAGCCTGCGGTCCAGAGAGACCCAGGTTCGGTTCCCGTTAGGAGCACGTACCTCGGTTGCAGTTTGTCCCTGGCCCTGGTTGGGTCGTGCGGGTGGCAGCATTTTGATGTGTCCCTTTCACATTGATGTTTCTCTCTCTCCCTCTCTCTTCCTCTCTCTCCCTCCCACTCTATCGAACAAAAAAAAATTTCTATCCTCAGGTGAGGATAAAAAAAATAATAATAAAGTGCTTTTAAATCACAGTATTTAAATGACAGTATTAGTATAGATACTTTAGGGATAAAACCCAATCCCATTAAAGAAACCTTCAACTGCCTTCAGTATTCTTGTTGTCAATGTTAATATTTATATTTCTGGGTTTTTCTCCACCTCCCAATTTTTAAAATTGTGGTAAAATACACATAACATAAAAATTACTGTCCCACCCTTTTTAAAGTGTACAACTCAATAGTATTAAGTACATTGATATTGTTAGCAATCATCACCACCATCCCTCTGCAGAACTCTTTTCATCTTGCAAAACTGAAACATCATACCCATTAAACAATAACTCTCCATTTCTCTTTCCCCATCCTCTCCTTTCTCTGTGATTTTGACTAGTCTAAGTATCTCATATAAGTGGAATTGTAGAGTATTTATCCTTCTTGTGACTGGTTTATTTCATTTAGCATGGTGTCCTCAAGGTTCATTCATGTTGTCGCATATTTCAGAAGTCCCTTTCTTCTTAAGACTGAATAATATCTGTGTGTGTGTGTATGTGTGTGTGTGTGTGTGTGTGACATTTTCATTTTGCTCATCCATCATCCCTGGATGGTTATGTGGGTTACTTCTGTTGATGGCATGGGGAAAGGCATCAGGTGTTAGCCCTGTGGGGTCTGACTAGACCTGGGTTCAGCAACCTCCGTATTTGAGTTCTGGCTAGGAAAGAATTCAAAGCCAAGACTCAAACTATAAGAGAACATTTATTTAGAAAATTACAGAGGTAGAAGAAGTAATTTGTAGAATAAATGGGCTTAGGAAATAAGTTATAAAGGCAAAGGAAAGGTCCTTGGAGCTTAGAAGTGAGGAATGTGAAGGTGACTTCTCTTGAGGAAGGGGAAGGTGTGGGTGCACTCTTGGGAGAGAGCAAGCTGGGTCCTTTGTCAATGCCAAGGAGCTGGGTTTTATCGCTGCTCACTTTTTTTTTTTTTTTTATCTTCACCTGAGGACATTTTTCCATTTTTTGTTCAGATAGAGTGGGAGGGAGAGAGAGGAAGAGAAAGAGAGAAACGTCAACGTGAAAGAGACACATTGAGTGGCTGCCACCCACACGACCAACCAGGGCCCTGGACAAACTGCAACTGAAGTACGTGCCCTTAGGGGGAACCGAATCTGGGTCTCTCTGGACAGCAGGCTGACGCTCTAACTGCTGAGCCAAACTGGCCAGGGCTGGAGCTGGGTTTTAAGGGTGGAGATTTTAGGGGAGGTCCCAGGGGAAGATCTTAATATAATATTAATCAGCTTTCTAGGTGAGTCCCTTTAGGGTTGTACTCTCCACAGATTGATTGGTCAGGGTCAGTGCAGGGGGGTCATTATTTAATGCAGCTGGTACTGAGGTCAGCTTAGCATTGCTTCTCTGGGTTTGCTGCTTTTTTGGGCCTGGAGCTGAATACAACTGAGGCCTAAATGTTATCTCTGTGGAGGAAAGGTCACCCTGGGGATGAGGTCCCACCCTATAATTGTCCATTGGTAGGCATCCAGGACTTTTCACTCTGGTGACCTTCTGTACCTGGCCCATTGTCCTCACTCTGCTCATGTCTAACTGCCTACCACACACACTTCCAGGATTTAGCTAATGTGAATAATGCTGCTATGAACATGGGTCTACAAATGTCACTTTGAGACCTTGCTTTAAATTCTTTTTTATTTATTTATTTTTGTTAAAACTTCTTTTGAGTATATAACCCAAAATGGAATTGCTGGATTATATGATAGCTCTATTTTTATTATTTTGAGGAACCACCATACTGTTTTCCAAAGCAACAGTTTACAGTCCCAACAACAGTGCTCAAGAGTTCCAATTTCTCCACATCCTCACCAACACTTCTTTTCTTTCTTTCTTTTTTTTTTTATCCTCACCTGAGGACATTTCTCCATTTTTGTTCAGATAGACTGGGGGGAGAGAGAGAGAGAGAGAAACATTAGCGCGAAAGGGACACATGAGTGGCTGCCTCCTGCACAACCTGACCAGGGCCAGGGTGAATCGCAACTGAGGTATGTGCCTTTGACTGGAATCGAACCCATGACTCATTGGTCCGAGGGCCGAAGCTCCAACTGCTGAACCATACCGGCCCAGGGCTATTTTCTTTTTTTTTTTTTTTTTTTTTTTAGTCCTCACCCGAGGACATTTTTTTTTTTTGATATTTTGTTCAGATAGAGTGGGAGGGAGAGAGAGAGAGAGAAACATCGATGTGAAAGGGACACATCGAGTGGCTGCCACCCACACGACCCAACCAGGGCCGCGGACAAACTGCAACCAAGGTACATGCCCTTAGCGGGAACCGAACCCGGGTCTCTCCGGACCGCAGGCCGACGCTCTAACCGCTGAGCCAAACTGGCCAGGGCCTATTTTCTTTTTAATAGTAGCCATCCAATTGGCATGGGGTTTTGCAAGTCATTTCTAATACCTTTTAGATCCAGGTGGAATAAAAATAATATTTAAAAAGAATTCTTACTTTGCTCAGTTTTTTCCTCTTCCCCTCCTTTTATTCTGCACCCAGCCCTCAATCCTCTTCTTTTTCTCTGATTTTTTGTGTTAATAAATTTTTTATGATTTTGGACTACTTACTAGTGTTTCATGTGTATTTAGTCCCGTTGTCCCAGTTTTTTTTTTTTTTTTTTTTTTTTTTAGTAATAGGGACTATGGTTTACCCTTTCCTTAATATCATCTCTAATGAAATTATATCAAGAAACGCTTCTCCTTTACAGTCTAATGGTAACAAACACTCAATTTTTAGCTTATTAATTCTGGGAGCAGTCATCACTTATCTTTAGAATTGCAGGAACCTATTTTTGTTTGGATCCTGCAAGAGCATTCAATCATTCAGACATTTCTTGAGCTCCTATTATATGGTATTCTTTTTTTTTTTTTTTATTTTTATTTTTTTATCCTCACCTGAGGATATTTTTCCATTTTTTGTACAGATAGAGAGGGAGGGAGAGAGAGGAAGGGAGAGAGAGCGAAACATCGACGTGAAGGGACACATCGAGTGGCTGTCACCCGCACGACCAACCAGGGCCGGGGACAAACTGCAACCGAAGTACGTGCCCTTAGCGGGAACCGAACCTGGGTCTCTCCGGACCGCAGGCGGACGCTCTAACCGCTGAGCCAAACCGGCCAGGGCTATATGGTATTCTTAACAGGGCCTGTCTCTGCAACACACTTTAAGATGAATGGTAATGCCCAGCTGGGGTGAGGCCCATTTCTGTGGCAACTTGGGGGACAGGACAGGTAGAACAGGTTTTAGTATGAGTTTAATACTCATGTCTTCTGTACTGGCCTGCTCCTATCACTTTGTCCTGATTAAATAAACCAAAGGCCAACTATGAAGCTTTCAGAGGCAAACTGAGGAAGTACCAGTTGGCCTAGTACTCCTCTAAATGAATTTGTCCTCTAAACGAATTTGTTAGTTTTTAGAACTTAGAAAATAAAATGAATAGCAGGATAGATAGGTGCTGACCCAGTTCACTCAGTTCACCCAGTTCCCTTTCGCCTCAGCTCCCTCCCACCTCCGTTCCCTCCCACTTATCCCTAACTGCCTCCGCTTCTGTACTTGCTTGCTCTTCCCCAAGGCCAACAAGAAGTGCCCGCTGCAGAAGTTTGTAAGGAACCTCCTATAAAATAAAAAATCAGCTGACAGTCGGGGCTGATCTTAGAGAACTGGGGATCAGTCCCTGGCCGGCTTAGCTCTCTATTTGGCTTTAATATGGCTCTGGTGGTCTCTCGGTTCTCTCCGCCACAACACTTCAACAGGTAAGGAGTCTAGTCCCCAGCCAAAGACCAACCCTGGTTGAAAGGAAGACACTGGAACCCTGAGTAGTGTACAGTTGACCCTTGAACAACACTGGGGTAAGGGGTTAGGGGCATCCATAGCCTCTACCCCAATTGAAGAACCACTTATAACTGTGTATTTTCTGGGTTCTATGGCGATCAATTTGTCTTGGTTTGATGGGGCTGTCCTGATTTTATATCGAAAAGTCCAGTGTCTTAATAACCCCGTTACTTCCAGGCAAACCGGAGTGGTTGGTCAGCAGAGTGCTAACTTTGACCCTCCCAGGTCTCCAGGTGTATGGAGTAATCTCTCGCTGAGCAGCACGCCGGCCTCTTCCCCTCCTGCATCGAGACTACAATCCCCAGCATGCAGTGCGGCCCCTTCGCGGCCTGTCCTTGGCCTCGCCGTCTCGCAGGGCGTCCTCTTTGGACGCGGCCCTGGGAGGCCCTGCGCGCTGACGTAGGCGCGCTGACGCCGACGGGCTGACGCCTCCTTCTTAGAGCCTCTGCCCTGCCTCCCGTGTGGCCGGAGTGCGGCGGCGGGCGGAGGCGCAGGGCGTGCATTCTCACGCGGCGCTTGGACTTTTTCTTTTCTTTTTTTTTTGAGCGGCGGTGGTCTAAAAACTGTAAATCTGGAAAGGGGCCGGTACTCCTCGCCTTCCTTCCTCCTGTGACTACCTAGTCTAAGATGGACAAAGTCTGTGCTGTTTTTGGAGGCTCCCGGGGCATTGGCAGGGCAGTAGCACAGTTGATGGCCCAGAAAGGCTACCGACTGGCCATCATCGCCAGAAATCTGGAAGTGGCCAAAGCCGCCGCCGCTGACCTCGGCGGTAGGTATCCAGCTGAAGTTCAGTTGTGTGGCCGCGGTCCCAGCGCCTTGAAGCTCCTTGTTTGTAAAAGGAGCAGGTCTGGCCCGTGAGGCAGGGCCGAGGTTGAGCGAGTTCAGCTGCCCACGTGCAGGAGCCCTCGTCCCGAGCTGTGACAGCGGCGTGTGCAGGGACCGCCCCGCGGCCTCCTGGTTCCCGCGCGGCGCCCCCTGCCGCCGGCCGCCGGCCGCCGGCCGCCGCGGGCTGAACGCCTGGGCTGTTCTTGGAGACTCAGCAGCCTTGTGGGGCCTGTGATTGAGCACCCACCTCGCCCGTGCCAGCCTGGAGGAGCTGCCTGTGGCGTCGGGAAGGAGCGAGCCACACAACAGTTCACTTTGTGTGTAGGGCAAAGGGCAGGGTTAGGCAGAAAGGGGTTGAGGCAGGAAAGGCTGGCTTCAGTTTTGCTGAGGGCTGTTCCCGCCTGTGTGTGGATGCGCAAAACTGTTTCATAGAGACTTGAGTACCAGCCAGTTTTGAGATGTGCCTGGCTTACTTTAATATCTCCGTAAGCACTTAATTCGTTATTAAATTCTTTTGGTGACTTTCAGAGGTTGGCAGTTGAAATTTGTACTGTCAAATTCCTTTTAACTGCATATAAACCTCTTTTTTTTTTTTTTTTCTGTAATGGTTAGTAACTTGTTTTGCAAATTTAAACTGCTTGATTGTAGGGAGAAATAGGATGTTTGGAAGATATTAAGATGATGTGTACTTAATTGCTAGGCTGGACAGATGCACCTCATTTATAATCAGAGAGGCACTGGGGGAAAATAGAGGCCTGGTGGTTGTAACCTTTAAAATAACATTACTTATTGGTTCATCCTGATTGGTTGCATGGGTTAGGAGAATATTCGGCTTTCTAAGAGAACAAAGACAAAGTTATAGATCAGAGAGAATTTCAGTGAATGCTTTTTGCTGCTCATATTCCTGGCCATTATGTTACTTTGACAAAGGGGCGAAACGTGGTGGTCCTTGTGGAGTCACCCCAAGTTTCAGTGTTTGCTGCACCAGATGAAAAGTGTTGGGCTTTCAAGGGTTGTTGTGGACCCAACAGCTCTTCAGATGAGAGACTAGAGTGGGAAACAAGATGCTTTTGGGCGTTTCATTTCTTTGAATTGTGTTCCATGAGTGGTTTACACTTAAAGTGTGACTTCCCAATGATTAACTGATTTTAAAGGCTTGAGGGAGTACTTTTAGTGTTAACTGGTAGGCAAGGTCAGAAAATAAGCAATTAAAAAAAATCTACATTTTACAGTGTTAAATGGTATATTCTTAAATAGAGAAAGCTCTTTGAAGTGTTTTTTTTTTTTTTTCATTCAATCTAAACATTTAAAAAAAGAACATTAAAAAGATAACAGTTGCTTTTAGTACAGAGTTTTTTTTCATGGTTTATAGATATAGCGTTTTTTACAGCTACCTGTTTTGTTTTATCACTCCTAATGGTCAGGCTTGAATGATAGGCATAATGATAATAATAATATTTGTGCCATAGTGAAAAAGAAAAAAGAAATCCAAGGGTTTATTCTCAGGGAAGGACCAGGAAAACATGGACAAACAAATCTAACAGAACTAGACACAGATTTCAAAAAAGAAATATGGAACCCAGAAGACTGGTGGATTGAGTAGACGGGGTCAGTGTCAAAGCTGTAAGCATCGCTACAGAATTTTCCAAAGCATTATGAACACAAAAAATGCCTTGATTAAAACAAGTTTTAAGATTTACATTCTATATATCACTTTATTTCTCCTTGTTTTCCACCTGCCTTCATCCCAGTTTCATTAGACTGGACTCTATGAGAGCAGGAACCTATGACATCTTTTATCTCTAGGTTCTAGATTAGCACTGGCCTGCCTCATAGTAGATGCTTAACAAATGTATACTAAATAATTTTTTTGTTTTATCCTCACCCGAGGACATTTTTCCATTTTTTGTTCAGATAGAGTGGGAGGGAGAGGAGGGAGGAGAGAGAGAGAGAGAGAGAGAGAAACATCGACGTGAAGGACAAATCGAGTGGCTGCTACCTGCACGACCAACCAGGGCCGGGGACAAACTGCAACCGAGGCACACGCCCTTAGTGGGAACCGAACCCGGGTCTCTCTGGACCGCAGGCCGACACTCTAACCGCTGAGCCAAACCGGTCAGGGCGTATACTAAATAATTTTAAGTCCCAATTACAATTTTGTAAGTAATTATAATATTTGTTGTGTAGGTGGTCATCTGGCATTTAGCTGTGACGTTGCCAAAGAACATGATGTTCAAAAAACATTTGAAGAGCTGGAGAAAAATTTAGGTCCTGTGAACTTCTTGGTAAATGCAGCTGGGATTAGCAGGTTGGTCCCCAATTTAAGTAAATTTCTAATGTGTCATTTTTCCCTTACTATGTCTTTGATTAGTATGAGTTAATATAATAATTAACTTATTTTATTTTTAATTGGAATAAAAACTGTATTTTAAAATTTGGTCTCTCAATCCATATACTGTTTTCTTTTGAGATAATACAATAAGGATACAATTTGGTCAGTTTTAAAATTGTGATCAACGTTCATGTTGAGTTCTAGAGCTTTTCCAGCACTTCAGAAGGCTCCCAGTTTCTTCCCAGTTAATAATTCCTTACAGGTCACCGCTCTTCGGACTTCTGTCAAAATATACAAATTTTGTCAGTTCATGCACTTAACATTAATGGAATCACAGAGGGTTATTATTATTTTTTTCTTTATGATGGGTTTAGGAAAGAATATTTAGAAAAATATATTAATTACTTTGCCAAACAAGGAAGGCTTAGCATGGCAGTTGCTCAGTTACTCCAAGCTATTTTGGCGACATGGCACCACTTTTCACAGTTAGGAATATTTGCCACTCTGCCTGAGAGGGTATCAAACCAGGTTTAAAATGGGACTTTCTAGGTATTCTAGCTCAGCTACGAAGACCTTATTATACTCTGCTTTCAGTAAAAATGTTATTTATTGCTTGGCACTTTTTTTTTTATACCGTTTTAAATTACATCTTTTTATTTTATTTTAGGGATAGCCTTTTAGTAAGAACAAAAACTGAAGATATGATATCTCAGCTTCATACTAACCTTTTGGGTTCCATGCTGACCTGCAAAGCTGCCATGAAAACTATGATTCAACAACAGAGAGGGTCTATTGTTAATGTAGGTGAGTCTTCACCTTTGTGAATTTATAATTATCTTTTAGTACCATAAAAATATTTAATCGACTAGATTGGAATTTGTTCAGGGGTGAAACTTGGATGAAATGTGTCATTATCTGGAAAAAGGATTTGATTAACTGATTAATGGGTAAAACAGGAATCAAAAATTCACATCCTTTGCTGGTCAAGTAGGTGTTAAATGAATTGACACCACCAAGTATTAGAAAAATGACATCACAAGCCGTGTGATAAGTGACAAAGATGCCCAACTTTGGTGTCCAGAGGCCATTGGAATGGCAGGAGCAACCCCTGCTCGGATCCAGTGGAATGTTGCTGTGCCCAGATGTGGGCCCAGCTTTGCCAGCCATTTTGATTTTTAAGAGAAATTGGACATCTTGATTTTTTAATGTGAAACCTAGTTTTTAAAATATGGGGAAGGAATTGAAAAAATCTAAATATTAGGGACTAAAAATGATGTCTAGAGCAGCTGCCTGGGTCACTGATAAATCTAGTACAGAGGTTAAGAGGAAGCTTTCTTAAGAGAGTGACTTTTCCAGTTTTTTAGCATAGATATAAGCAACCTGTTGCCTTCAGTTCATCTGACTCATGGGCCAGTAGACCTTAAAATGCAAAATGACTTAAACTTGTATTTCAATTGGTAATTTGAAAATAGCAGCATACCATCTGCCTTTTAATTTTAGGTGGTAATACCTTAAAAAGCCACCAAAGGAGGGGGGGTGCTTCTTCACTGAGGTAAATAAATGAGCCTATTCTTAATATATGAAATGGGTTTCCAAGCCACAATGTAGGGTTTTTCTGTTTTGAAAATGAGAAGAGAGGAGAATAATGTGCTATTCAGCATTAGAACATTTTCGATATTTACCCTTAAAAATAAGAGATCAGTTTTCTTATAAAATATTTACTAGTAAATGAGTCGATCTTTGCTTTCTAGTGCAGCCAGGTAATGATATTAGGTTCCCATAAGCTGCTGGTATACTGGCCTGTATATATCACCTGATAAGAAGGCGGGTGTTTGTTTAACTCTAAAATAGCTCCTTTTCAGATATATTTACAAAATCCCTCCTCATTCCCTTGTATACATGCGAAACTTTAGAATTGTGCTAAACGTAAATAAAATAGATAATAAAAAATAAATTAAGAGAATCTTATTATAGAAAGGACTATTTTAAACTTCTAGAAATTTTACAGTGTTTCAGAAGTTACCACTTTTGACCAGAAGAACAGTAGTATGTGACTTGAAGCAAAGATTCCTTTGGCCTTTCTTCCATGCCTATATTTTTCTCTCCTTTTTGTGTTTCTCCATACTCCTCTGTCTGTCTTCATTTCCTCTGTTTGATATCTCTTTTTCTCTCTTCACCGTTCTCGTCCTTTGTCATTACTATATAATGTAGATAAAATATTTTAATATTGAACTTGTTGGTTATAATATAAAAAGTATTTGGAATAGTTTCTAAAATAAAATTACTCTTTCAAAAATTTTATGACATTGTTAATTTTATGTCATAAGTACAGATCACCGGTGTAGAAAATTACTTGTTTGCATGAATTTATTTGAATACAGTTAATATTTGAATTATAAGTTATTCTTTCATATTTATGTAAATGAGGCCACCTAGGAATCTTTAGTAGGCAGTGCAAGTTATACTACATCACGGAATGTCACTGAATTGCAGTTTTACAAAAGTTTGTAATTGAAGCTTTTAGATGGACAGTAATTCCAATTCCAATTTAGTGAGATTTAACTTCAGATGAACTATTTCTTAGGTGGAAATGAATGCTTTTTTATGTCTGTGTTGTAGAATCATAAAATTAATGTGGCATTATCTGAGTTTTTCTGGTTTTCACCTCTTCCTACCGGAAGCCTTTATAACACTATAGAATTTTGATCATGTGACCAGTTCAGAGATGAGAGTGGGGTTCCTTCACTTAATGGATCAATTCTCAAACCCCATTTGGCATTTGAGGTTTCAAATAATCATCTTTCAAATCCTGTTTTCTGTGTATCTGGAGCAGATTCAGACTCTCACCACTAAAATGACCGTGGTTAGAATTCCTAATTTTAGCAAAGGAGAAGGTAAAAAGATTTGTACGTTTTTGTTGAGTATAAGTTATCTGCATGTTCAATAACTCCATGAAACTGGTGTGAATTTGCTTTCATTTGTTTTTTTCTAGGAAGTATTATTGGTTTAAAAGGCAACGCTGGCCAGTCCGTGTACAGTGCCAGTAAAGGAGGATTGGTTGGATTTTCACGTGCTCTTGCTAAGGAAGTAGCAAGGAGGAAAATTAGAGTAAACGTAGTTGCACCAGGTCAGTGAAAACTTCTTTTTTCTTTAAACATGATTCATGTGTGTTGATGGCTTTATGCAATCATTGCAAGGCTTGTTCTTGTGTCTACATTGTTAGGCACACACTTCTCAGAGTCCTGGCATGGGAACGTGGAGTCTGCACTGTCACTAAACTCTTGACTAGCGAATTGCAGGAGGTCTGACTGTGTCCTGACAGGACACACATGGCCACACTGCCAGGCAGTGCACCATCCTCGAGGAGGAGGCCAAGAGGAATGGCAGGCTGTTTTGTTTGCATAAAGCACGTTGTGTTTTTCACTGAAGGATTACTCCCAAACTAAAATACAAGGGAAACTGCTCATTTAAAAATCAGTTATAAATATAAAATATAAGAATTTTAAGTATGTGTGTTTGTGTGTGTGTGAACACAGTACATCTTTATTTTTTACATATCTGAATAGCTGTATAATACAGTATGCTTTTAATAATGTACAATCCAGAAGATATAACACCCAACTGCCTAGGTGATACTGGCTTATTTCACAAGCATCCATGTGCACAAACTGACATACTAATTACTCCAGAAAGTCAGTATTTGTACAGAAAAAGAATTGCCAGAGGTCATATAATGTTTCTTTTCCAAATAGTCAAGATGCCTTTCCCTGGACTTCACTGTACCCCAGAGAGCTATCCAGGGTTTGTGTTAGAAATTCAACACAAAGAGAAATTTGAAGGAAAAAAAGATATTTACACAGACTCAGGAGGAAGAAAGATCTTTTCAAAAGTCACTACAAAGTAGTAAGATGTTGTTAGTGGTTTTAGCAGTAGGTGTCCAGTAATGATGAGTGGAAGCTCACTGGTGATGTTATGGGGGAGGAAGGTGGTTGTGCGTCGTAACAGAGAGGAGCACACTTCTACTCTGGCACCAACAAGTTCCGTGACATGTGCAGCAGGCACTGCTTAGAGGAACTGAGGCTTCTAAAATCAGACACATGGGTGTGGCCATCAGTGAAGGTGGCTGAACAGGTGGCTGTTGAATGAGTTTTCAAACTAGTAGAAGTCAGAGTGGGAAACTTATAATGGAGCTGCCTTTCTGTAGGGAATCTATTGGGAACACTTGTGTTCTTGTGAACATGTAGGAAAAATGAAGCCAACAGAGAGGCATTTCACTTGTAAGACGAAGCAAGTGTGATTTGAGCTAAGTACACAGAAGTCGGAGAGCCTTTGACAAGTCAAGAGGAACCTTTTTGTGCACCTGTTCCTGTTTCTATGCTGACTTTGGGTATTCTGCATTACGTGAAAATACTGATGGATTAAATGGGACATAAAGCCAATTATCTTGGTCTGTTAATAACTGGCCATTGGAAAATATTAAAACATAATGACCAGAATTATAGTTTATTTTGCTACAGGCTAAAAAAAGTCTTCAATGTTTTCATTTATAGAGAAGGGAGCCTAATTGACCTCTGAATTGGTACTAATGGATTGACATCTGGGTAGAATAATTACAAAATGATTGTGAAAAGAATCAAGTAATGAACTGGTGGCTACAAAAACAATTCCCTGTACCTTATATTTTCTTTAAAATCTTTACTTTAAACTTTGAATTATAACAAAAATATGAGGTGGAAAGGACCTTGTAGACAATTTATTCCAGTCCTTTTTGCAGTTTAGAAGACTGGGACTGGAGACAGTGACCCCCAGAGGGGTATGTCAGGACTCTTCCTGAACGCTTTGTCTTCGCATTTCCAGCTGGGGTGAGCCTGACAGTGATGGCCACTCCGCTTTCCTGTGTATCGTTAGGAGCTTTCTAGGTCTTTTTGTCCTTTTGTTAATATGGCCTGTCTTAAATATCTGGAATTACCCAATTTTGTAACTTTTACATCTGTATTATTTGCCTTTTACCAAGTTCTTTAGCTAATAAAATTGCCTGGGGTAGTTAAGAGGGTAAGAAAAGTGCTAAAACTTAAATCTACCATTGTCACGCATTAGACGGAGAGATAGAAATTTTGATTAGGTCTTTACTCACCTTTTGAATAAAATGAGTGTTTTCATATACCTCTGCTGGTTGGCCATGGAATTTTGTGGTGTTTTACTATAGGTATTTAAGACTTGATTATCTATATTAAGGAAAGACATTTGTTTAGTTTATTGGTTGTTTGTAAGAAAGAGTAGGCGAAGTAGGCTTTTGCCACCTTTTCATTGGAAGTCACTGATGGCTGCCGCTTGCACACTAGAGTTGGCGTTTTATTTGGCACTGCTGTGGAGCCAGCAGGGATGAGGGGATGGTGAAATGTACTGATAGTCCTTCTGCTGTATAAGGTGCCTTCATCCCAATTCCTTGTTTCGTCACAGAGCCTAGCTAAATTCAAGCATTCCTAACCCATGAACATTTGATAGACTTGTTTAGACACAGTACTTCCTTCTAAAAAATTAAAGAAAAGGGTAATCCAAAAGCTGCACTGTCATGGAAGTGTTGTTAACTCATAATAAATCATTCAGTAGACTGACGTACTGGAGTGTCTCCTATATGCAAAGACTGTGTTAGGTTCCCAAATTATAAAAATGAATAAGATACTTCTGCCACAAGTAGCTAAGTACAGAGGGAAAAACAGACATATAAACAAATAATTACAATGGCATGTGATGAATATAAAGATACATATGTGATGCTATGGGAACACTGAAGAATGAATGCTTAATTTTGTTAGAGTGAATTAGTTGTCAAGGCAACAGGCTGAATCGTGTGAATCCAGTTTATATACAAAGGGAAGTTTTATGAGTGTTATGGAAGTGTGTTTGTATGTATAACTTTTTCTATAGATGTTTCCAGTGCAAATTATACTACCCATAAAAACCTGTCACTAAAAATGTGGTTGTTTAATAAGGTGACCTTGATTACATTTTGTTGGCTATACATATTTAGTAGGTTTCATAGTATGAATAGGTTGTATTGGGCAGAAGTGAAGTGTAAGTTGAAATAGTGGAATTAATTGATTCTATGTTTTATTTATTCACTTTGTTTTCTATAGTAATTATAATAAGATTCTTTACCAGATCTTTTTTTAATTATTATTTTTTATTAATTTTAGAGAGAGAGGAAGGGAGAGAGAGAGAGAAACATCAATGAGAGGGAATGTCGATTGGCCTCCTCCTGCATGCCCCTGACTCAGATCTTTTAATAGACATGACAAATATCAGAATTAACAAATATGTTTCTTTTTAAGTCAGTTTTCCTGGTCACCTTCAAATGGAGTTTCCAGGAAAGATAATAATTAAAAAGTAAGTCATAGCAGGAAAAGCAAGGGACAGTATCACTGCCTGATATCATCATCATTATTATTGTTATATTAAATTCTCACATGAGGTTATGTATGTATTGATTTTATTTATTTTTAAATTTGTTTTGATTGATTTTAGAGAGAGAGGAAGGTCGAGGGAGAAATAGAAACAGCGATGATACACATTGATTGACTGCTCCCGCACGCCCCCTCCCAGGGATCCAACCTGAAACCAGGGCATGTGCCCTGACCAGGAATCGAGTAGCGACCTCTTGGTGCATGGGATGACACTCAACCAGCTGAGCCACACTGGCCGTGGCTGTATGTATTGATTATGGCTAGAGTAAGCTGGGGTTAGGGGGAGAGAGAAAGAAACATCAATGTGAGAGAAAATCATCTCGGTTGCCTCTTGCATGCTCCTGACCAGCGATTGAACTTGCAACCTAGGTATGTGCCCTGACTGGGAATCAAACATGTTCGGGTCGATGCTCCAAGAAACGAGTCACAGCAACCAGAGCCACTGCCAAATGTTATTGGTTTTTAAAATATTCCTAACCTAAGGGTATATTTTTATTGATTTTTAGAGAGCAAAGGAGATTGAGAAGGAGAAAAAGAGATACAGGAAGAGATACATTCATGTGAAAGAGAAACACTGATCTGCTGTATGTGCCCTGACTGAGAATTGATCCCACAACTCTTGGGTGTACAGGACCACACTCCAACCAGCTGATTCACCGGGCCAGGGCTATTGATTTTTTGAAAGATCAGTTAGTTGTTAAGCTTTGATATATAAACTTTAAATATAAAATAAATTACTCATTATAGTTAAATCTTACTGATTGGAAAATATTGAATTTGAGAAACAGTAGTTGATAAATTGAAACTATAATGGGTACATTGCTTAAAAGTGTGTTTTAAATAGATAATACAAATGTACAAAATTCAGAATTACCAAAAGACCTAGAGGGAGAGGTGAGTCTTCTCTCTTCTGGTTGTCTAGTTCCTTTCCTCAAAGCAACACACTATTAACTGGTATCTTCTTTTTTTCATATACAAGCCAATAAATTGTGTGTTTTTCTTTTTTTTGTAAGAAAACACAAATTGAGTCATGCTGTTCACAAGTTCTGTCCCTTGCTATATTTACAGACCCATATATCTTGGAGTTGATTCCATATAGCACTGCTTCACTTTTTAAATAACAGCTTTGTGGAAATATAATTCACATAACATACAATCCACCCCTTTAACGTGTACAATTCAGTGGTATCAGGGTAGTCACATATTTGTTCTGTTATCACCAGAATACATTTTGGAACATTTTCATCATCCCAGAAGAAACCCTGAGCCCTTAGCATTTACTCCCCATTTCTCTCCAATGTCCCCAGCTTCTAGCAACCAGTAATCTTTCTGTTTCTATAGATTTCCCTCTTCTGGACAGTTCATATAAATGAAATAATATAAATTGTGGTCTTGTGACTGCTGTGTCATTTTTTTTTCTTCATTGATTTTAGAGAGCTAGAGGAAGGGAGAGAGAGAGAGACAGAAACATCGATGAGAGAGAACATTGATTGGCCACCTCCTTTCTGCCCCCCCACTGGGGATTTGATTTTTTTGTTTGTTTGTTTTTTGTATCTAATGTTTGGAGATGCACATCTTTTCTTTTCTTTTTATTATTTATTTATTTTTAAAATATGGTCTAATTGATTTTATTATTTTTTATCCTCACCCCAAGGACATTTTTTTTTTTTTTGCATTTATCTTCAGACAGAGTGGGAGGGAGAGAGGGAGGAAGAGAGAGAGAAACATCAATGTGAGAGAGAGACATTGAGTGGTTGCCACCCACACGACCCTAACCAGGGCTGGGGACAAACCACAACCAAGGTATGTGCCCTTAGCGGGAACTGAACCTGGGACTCTCTGGTCTGTGGGCCGACGCGCCAACTGCAGAGGCAAACTGGCCAGGGCTATTTACTTATTTTTATTTTACTTTATTTTTTCCCCCCAATTTTTATTAATTTATTTTTGTTACAAATGTTTCTCCTTTTCCCCTCCTAGACCCCCTCCTCACCATCCTGCCCCCCCCCCCCCCCGCATTGTTGTCTATGTCATTTGGTTATACATACATGCATATAAGTTCTTTGGTTCATCTCATCCATTCCCCCCGCCCCCCTACTCTGAGTTTTGTCAGTCTGAACCATACTCCTTTCTATGTCTCTTGGTCTATTTCGTTCATCAGCCTACCTTGTTCATTATTTTCCACAAATACGTGAGATCATGTGGTATTTGTCTTTCTCTGATTGGTTTATTTTGCTTCGCATAATACTCTGGAGGTCTCTCCATGTTGTCTCAAAAGATAAGAGATCTTTCTTTCTTATAGCTGCACAGTATTCCACTCACTGGGGAGTTGGCCCACAACCTGGGCATGTACCTTGACCGGGTATTGAACCAGTGACCTCTTGGTGCACCGGTTGATGCTCAACCACCGAGCCACACCAGCCGAGCTGCTTTGTCATTTTTCATAGCTAGTTAACAGATAGACTGACTAACCTCAGGGGGTTGGGGTAGGAGGAGTGGGAAGAGATAAACCAAAGAACTTACATGCATGTATACACAACCAGTGGACACAGACATTAGGTCGGGGAAAGTCGGAGTGTTGTGGGAGCAGGAAGGAGGGGGTCAGTGGGGGAAAAAAAGGAGCACATTTGTAATACTTTCAACAATAAAAAAAAATAGTTTTTGTTTTATGTGTGTACCGTGATTTATTTAACCCGTTGCCTCTTGATGGGCACTTGGGTTGTGTCTGATCTTTTGCGATTACCACTAATAATGCCGTGACAGTACTTGTATATACTTTATTTTGCACATGTGCAAGTACATGAGTGTGATCCTGGGGATAACAAGGCTCAGAGGGTATATGCATTTTACATTTTGACAAGTAATATAGCATTGCATATATTTGTTAGGGTGCCTTAAGTGTTTTGCCCCCTCTCTGCTTTTTTTAAGTTAAAGAGCTTTTATGTTAACTACTTGGAGAAAATCTTATTGACAAATGCTTGCATAAACTTGGCAGCTACTCAAGACAGGTATTGTTCTAAGTGCTCTTATGGGCTTTTTGTTATGGAGTTGATTTTTGCACACTGCTTCCTTCGACATTTTTGCAAACATAATATTAAGACAGTTCTAGTTAAAATCTTGGTCTAGTTTTTGTGTCAACAGTCTTGTTTCTTCTGCCTTAAAAAAGTGTCTGGGATTATTTTAATTCTTTCTAGGTCCTAGAGACTTATATCAGAGAGTGGACTTCTGAACTATTAGATATATCAAGTAGTGCACATCCCACAATTGTTAATACTGTTGACAGGCTAATATCCTGTTGTCTTATTAAAACATACAGTCTCTGCTATATACCAAAATGTTCAGCACTAAAGCAGTGATCAAACAATATAGAATGAGATGCTATTCATTCATATTATAGCTAGCAGAAATGGATAAAAGAAATAAATTTCCTTTAGACTGTCAAAAATAAATTCTCATTGGACAGGAATCACACATTTGCTTTTATGAGCAGGAGTATCCCTGTTTCGAAAGTGTTCTTATTTTATAAAAAGCAGTAATGTGGGTGTCATTGTATACTGAATGAAAGTAGAAGTATCCTTGTTCCAAGTTGGTTGGAGTGCATGTCATTTCAGCGATCTGTTTACTGGTTTAAGGAGTGATAGCTTTGTAGGCAGCTGGAAACCTACCTGGGCAACAGGTGATCAGTAAGAACACCATTGTTGGAGAGTGGCACCTACTGGTAGTTTGTAATTTTCATAGCCCAGGCGTTTTAAATATACATGTGGTAAAATGAGGAGGGGAGCCTGTTTCTGGGACGTTACACGTAAAGTGAAAAAATGACGTGGAAGAGAGTCTTGTGGGGCTCAGGAGTGGGAGCTCCAACTCAGAAGCGATATGAACATGGAAATGGGTGTGTGGAATGTTTAAGAACAACTGACATCTCTGCTCAGGTCTTCTATAGAATCCAAAGGACTGTTGATATGCAGTGCCCTGTGAATATGTTTACAGTTGAGGATTATGTGGTTCATGTGCTATAGCATAAAATGACATTAGAGACTAGCTTCACATTTTTATTTGATTTGTGATAAATTAGGGGAAGATAATATGAGTTGTATAAAGCTCCAGATAGATTTTTAGGGCAGTAAAACCATTCTTTATTACACTGTAACAGTGGATACATGACATTATGATTTGTCAAAACATAGAATGTACAACCCAAAGGATGACTCCTAATGTGAACTATGGACTTGACTTGATAATAATGTATCCATATTGATTCATCATAAGTACATACTAAGGCAAGATGTCAGGGAAAACCAGGGATGGGGAGAGGTGCAGTGTGATAAGGGTTTATAAAGGAACACTCTACTTTCTGCTTTATTTTTCTATAAACCTAAAGCTGGTTTAAAAAATGTTAAGTCTTAAAAAAAAGTTGCAAATAACTGGGTCTTTGGACATGTTCTTGCTGTCCATATCAAACATAATCAAAGAGAAAATACCAGTATTCGTGACTTCATCCCTTTCCTTTCAACTTGGCCTCTGCCGACTACTTTGTTTTCAGCTTTAGTGTAGTTTAGCGATGGCTAGCTGCTGTCCCATAAGGTTTGTCATTCCAACTACAGGTTTGGATAGAGGCTGTGGCTTGGTAACCCTAGTGAAACAATACCCTTATTTTCCAAGCTTGAGCAGTGGAGGAGAATCTTCATGCGAGGCATGTGCCTGAACACCGTGACCCTAGTTCTGGTCTTGTAATCATTGCTGAACTCAGAGGGCACCTTTCTCCCTTGTTTACGAGCCAGTTTGGAAACTATTCCTTTTTTTTTTTTTTTAATTTTTTTATCCTCACCCCAGGACATTTTTGCATTTATCTTCAGATAGAACAGGAGGGAGAGAAGGGGGAAGAGAGAGAAATATCGATGTGAGAGAGACACATCGACTGGTTGCCACCCACACAACCCCAACTGGGGCTGGGGACAAACTGCAACAGAGGTGCGTGCCTGGGAACCGAACCTGGGACGCTCTGGTCCGCGGGCCGACACGCTAATCGCCGAGCCAAACCGGCCAGGGCTGGAAACTGTATTCTTGAGATTGCACATTAAATCTTTACTTCTCATATCATGTCTAACTCATAATCCATTTATTGTCACCTATACTGTTGTAATTATTGTTCATTTTATGAGGAGTGCTTATTTCCTTTTTTTTTGAAGCTTAAATTATTGAATAGTGAATACTGATTATATAAAGTATATTACTGGTAATATGTATTTGTCTCAGACTAATCACAAGATTTTATGAATAAATCTATAGTCCCTCTGGCATATATCTATAATACGAATCATTCAAGATTAGTTGCTTAATGTATTACGTAGACTTTATACTACAGAACTTTGTACTTTAGAACATATTCTCTGCAAGCGTTACTGCATTCACTGGTGCCATGTTAAATTTTACATTTCTGTGTGTACTTGTATCAGCCTTGGATATAACCCTAAGATATTTTTGTTATATGAATATTGGAAATACTGATCTTTCTAATCAGCTGCCCTAGTTATAGCCAGTGGAACTAATTTTTGTCTAATGCCAGATTGGTTCATGTGACCACCTTTGTGATACCTTCCTTCTCTCTACCCTACCTTCTCCCCCTCTACCCCACTCAAGTGAAAATTAATCAGTTCTGTAGTACTTCGTGTCTACCTGTATAAGGATATTCACTAGACTTTCTTATGTTATAATTAGGGGTGCAAGCAGTTATTTCCTCCTTTAATTTTAGGTTCCCCAAGGAATAGAGTTTTTATTCATGTTTACATGTACCCACTTACATTGTGCTATGAGTTGGGCCAAATATTTGGGAATCACATATTTTAATGTTCAATAAATGTCCATTGAGTTAAATCAAATAAAAATGTAGACTGGTGCTTGAATGCTAGCAAAACTTCGTAGTATTTCCTAAACAGGGTTATTGGTAATCTCAAAATTTCTGGAGCAATATTTTTTATTTGAAATTGAGCCAATATTGTAGTGTCTACCCTTTTCTACTAAATAAACAAACATTTTTCTTTTAGGATTTGTTCATACAGATATGACGAAAGACTTGAAAGAAGAAAACTTAAAGAAAAATATTCCTCTTGGGAGATTTGGAGACCCTATTGATGTGGCACACGCGGTTGTGTTTCTCTTAGAATCACCGTATATTACAGGGCATGTTCTGGTGGTGGATGGGGGGTTACAGCTCACGATGTAGCTTACAGATCTCAGTTGTAGTGGTGATTGGAATCAAGGACACACTTTGTTGATTAGACAGTCATATCTACATGGGTGACATTTGCTCATCAAACCTATTCATGCTACTAATGTTGATTTCTGTCTTTATATGTATGTATCCGAAAAGAACAATGTTTGACTAATTGTATTTTCTAAATGGAATGTACCTTATAGACTAGTGATTTTAGTATCTAGACATTTTTCAAGTACTATAAATAGGTATTACCAAAATTTATGTATTTGTCTCAAAAGTGGAAAAAATTATAAAGTTTAATTTTCATGTTATTATATGAGGCTGAATTCTCTAGGAGTTAACCTTGTGGACCATTGCCAGAATAAGATTGTTACCTGGCGTTGGTTAGTTGTCAACACTTTGGCAACCCTGCTAAAGGTAAACACTATTTTTTTTCATATGCCTCGGATAATCAGTTTTTATACAGGTTGAAGAAAACAGTATCAGTTTGATACAGACATGAATTTAGAATCATTTTATTATTTTTTCAGTGGCATTACCCCTGACTGAGTTGCTGGGCAAAATAGCCAACAAACATAAGTGTGGTACAGTTGATCCATTCTATAGAAATTTTCATTGATGGGGAGCATTAACCCTTATCTTAAGGTTTAATATCTGCTAAATTGGTCTCATCAATTTAGGAAATGAAAATGTTTCATTTTTAATAAAACAGAACACTCAGTAGTATCACAAGCTACTTAAAAATAGTATAAACATAATGACACGTTAAAAATTAAGAGTTTTGAATATTACTCTTACCTAAAATTAATTAGTAGTAAAATCTTATTTACTTATTTACATCATTATCATAAATGATAAATATACAGTAACAAGAGATTAGATGTCTTTACAAGGAAAAATACCATTAGTCTTAAAATATTTGCCTGAGAATAGAGGTAAAGATAAAAACTGACTGTAAAATATCAGGCAACATTTTGCATTGAACTATTTTGTGGGGAATAGTGTGATATTTTAATGTCACTGGATTCATGTTGATTTTTATTAAAAGTGTTTTAAATATTTACTACATCTTAAAAAGTAATCTTTTTACAGTTTTATTGGAGCTGAACATTATATAAAAACAGATTTGATTTTACATTGAAAGTGCAAAAGCATGAATAGGATATGCTACATAAATGCAAAGTAAAAAAAAGAAACAAAATATAATAATAAAGGCAAATCTATGTTTTAAATTAAGATTGCTGATTTCTTTCTTTTCCAATTTTTATTAATTTATTTTTGTTACAGGTGTTTCTCCCTCCCCCCCCCCCCGACACCCTCCTCTCCATCCTGTTCCCCCATGCCTCCAGTATTGTTGTCTATGTCCATTGGTTATGTATACATGCATATAAATTCTTTGGTTCATCTCATCCATCCCCTCCACCCCCCTACTCTGAGGTTTGTCAGTCTGAACCGTACTCCTTTCTATGTCTCTGGGTCTATTTCGTTCATCAGTCCACCTTATTCATTATATTCCACAAGAGATCATGTGGTATTTGTCTTTCTCTGATTGGCTTATTTCGCTTAAAGATTGCTGATTTTTTAAAATTACTTTAGAATTTATTTTGAAATAGCCTTCTCTACATACAGGAGTCTAGTTAAGATGTGAGAAGTCAGTTAGTTATGAATAAAATTAATGCAGGCATGGTGATTTACAGAATTTCCCAGGCGTTAACAATTCCAGGCATATTGGAGGAAATACAACATTAAAGATGGTTTCAAGTGTAGTAGCTGAGGCTTCTAAGCTAGGAGAGTTTATGCAGACCGAGAGGCCATTTTTCTAATGCTGTCTCACCTGCAGGCCTTTGGCTACCTGCACTTCTTCATTTTGACATCCTCTCAGGCTTGAGTGCCCTTCTCTGGACACCTTGTGTTCTGAAATGATCAGTGAGGCTGCTTTGACTGGTGATTAGGAAGAGCACAATGTATTTCATGGAACTGATGACACTAAGATGTAGGTTACAGATAAGTTCACACTTTATATATGTACACTTTAAGAAACATAACGCTTTTAAATATTCCACCCTGTCCCCAGCCCATATCAAGCTGCTGGTGTAATATGGGGAGAAATCTTGAAAATGGTCAAATAAGCTTTCACTGTTCCATTCCAGGTGACTTTTGCACTCACTTCCACTAACCTGGTAGAATTTGCAATTTAATACTTGCTGAAATAAGTTGCAGTTGCTTATGTTCAGAGGTTCAAGAACTTCAATGAATTCTTAACAATAAGAAGTTAAGTGAATTCTTTTTTTTTATCCTCACCCGAGGACATTTTTTTCTATTTATTTTTTTTGTTCAGATAGAGTGGGAGGGAGAGAGAGGAAGAGAGAGAGAGAAACATCGACGTGGCTGCCACATTGAGTGGCTGCCACCTGCACAACCCAACCAGGGCTGGGGGCAAACTGTATTTGAGGTACGTGCCCTTAGCGGGAACCAAACCTGGGTCTTTCTGGACCGCAGGAAAAGTCTCTAATTGCTGAGCCAAACTAGCCAGGGCTGAGTGTTTTTTGTTTTTTATTTTAGAGAGAGGAAGGGAGAGGGAGAGGGAGGGACAGAAACATTGATGAGAGAGAACATCGATTGGCTGGCACCTGCATACCCCGCACTGGGGATTGGGCCCACAACCTGGGCATGTGCCCTGACCGGGAATCGAACCAGTGAGCTCTTGGTGCATGGGTTGATGCTCAACCACTGAGACATACCAGCTGGGCCCTTAGACGTGTGCTTAATAAGAAACTTGCCCCTTAGTCCATAGCTATGAAGATGAGCAATAGTCCTCTTTCACAGAAAGATTTGGAACTTGATCTATTGCTTCTTGCTGTGTCCTGCCAGTTTTATTTGTTAAGAAATTTTTCTTCGTTAGTTACCATGGGACCCATGAGCTTCAGCTGTGCTGGCCACTAGAGCCAGAGATCTAGAGCCATTTGTTGTTTGGTAGCCGCAAAAATTAGGGATGCATATTGGGGTACAAGCTCCTTTTTGAGATACTTGGGAGCTTGGGTGAGGCAGAGGAAGATAACTCCTGCATGTTATAGCACTACGTTGCTGAGACTTCATTTGTGATGGATTAGAATGGTGTATTGATAGAAGGGAATGTATTGGTTAGCACAGGATCTCAAAATTTCATGACATGTGGGGCAAATAAGAATATGGGGGCTGTGGAATGGTTGTTTGTTACTGAGTGCCACTGATAGTTTGAAAAAAAGAAGTTCAGGTCAGCCAGTTAGCAACTTAGGATACAGTGTTACAGTCAGTGCATGCTTTAAAAACATCATCATCTTTTTGTATTAGGCAGTAGACAGGATGGAAGATGAGGCCTAGGACTTGATAGTGAGAGTATAAGAGCTACAATGAAAGCTGAGTTCTCAGCCTTGGCAAGTCTTCTGTGGTAAAGGACCCTGATAGGGAAGGAGTGGAACCTGAGACCTGGGATGGAGCCTTTGGGCAGATGCACTCAAGAATGCTGAGCTTTAGAATTCCCCTTAATCCTCTGGGTCAGTAGGAATGGCCTCTTTGCCCTTGCAGAAACTTCAACTACAACAGACTCCTTGCAAGACAGTACTTGCTTCCTCAGGCTCTACTTCTATCTTCTATTCTGGATGTAAGACCAAACCCTAGGGTCAAGTCTCATCATAAGCTGAACCTGGGGAAGTAATGATTCTGTTAAGGAAGGAGAGGGTTCATTGAAGGTGCAACAGGATCTGGCGAATATGAACTGACAGGAGTATGTTTTATGAATAGATCTTGAAGATGCTGGATGGTGGAGGGAGAGTTGGGGGAATAGAATATAAGGCTATATAAAGGAGATTTGTTGATGTGGGAGCTCTTCTATAATTCAGGATTTAGCATCCTGATAAGGCCCCTGGAATGAGTCCTGATCTACATTATGGATCCTGGAAGCTTGAAAGCAATGAAGGCCTGCGTTAAGTGAGGTGTAGATGCCAGCACAGTCTTGGCAAAGTGTTAACAAAGTGATCGGAAGGCTGAGATAGACATGTAAAACTAGATCTGTACCTGAGTGTATTGTATAAGATCTACAACTCCTCCAAATGAATATTTCCCTGGGAAGGAACAGAATTCTGTTGTCATGAGACAATAAAGGAATGCACTAGTGAGAGGGGCACAGACATCGCTGAGAAGTTGGCTGGTGGCTGTCCTCTGAAGGTTAAGGTAGAGGATGTTTTTGTGGAAATGAGTTCCCAGGGATCAGTGGAGATGGTAAAATTCTGGCCATTTGCTTAACTGTCAGTAGGCGGTAGGACAGAAAGACCATAATGGACAGCAAGGTCAGAGAGACTTGAAAGGATCTGTAGTAATGGTTGATAGACTTTGGTTTTCCCAGAGGTAATACAGATGGACAGAGAGCAAGGGTCTGGCTTCATATATACAGTTGACATTTGAACAACATGGGGTTGAACATGTGAGTATAACTTTTGACTCCCTGAAACTTAGCTACAGTCTTTTGATATCTATAGGGGATTGGTTTCAGGACCTTCTGCAGAAACCAAAATCTACGGATGCCCAAGTCTCTTACATGAAATGATGTAGAACAATGTGTATGATCGGCCCTCTGCATCTGCGGATTCCCATCCACGAATCAAAAATACTCTTTTCCATCTGTGGTTGGTTAAATCTGTAAATGCAAAACCCAGGGATATGGAGGGCTGACCGTGTATGCATTTATTGAAAAAATATGTGTATAAGTTCATCTGTGCAGTTCAGGCCCTTGTAGTTCAAAGGTCATCTGTATAATCAAAAAGGTCAAGAGCAGATGAGCAGAAGACAGTGTCACTTAGCTCCATGAATGTATTTTCTATGGCTTAGCAAACTTAGCATATTAAAACAACACCTATTTATTATCTTACAGTCCTGTAGGTCAACGACTGGGTGTAGCATGGCCCAGTTGTTTCCACTGAGTCTCACAAAATCAGATTCCATGTGTTGGCAGAGCCGTGTCTGTTTCTGGAGGTCCTGGGAATAAATTCATTTCCAAGCTCATTTAAGTTGTTGGCTAAATTCAGTTAATTGTGGTTATAGGACTGACTTCTTCTTTCCCTTGGTAGATGTCAGATGTGGCCCAGTCTTTGCTTCTAGAAGCTGCCTGTATTCTTTTTCA